CTCTGCAATCATGCCTTTTGCTTAAAAATATTGGAATATACTTCAGACAAATAAAGAGGAACGTGAATGTATTTAAATATACTTTAACCCTTTCTTGCCTTTGAATAAACTTAATGGTTTGAGAGGACAATTTCCACAGTAACATGACTCTTATGACCCCTAATATACATAGAAAAAGTTTGAGCTAAATTCATTAGATGTCAATTTACTGAGCATATGATACATAGGTTACTTTTTACTGAAAGAAATTTCTGATGTTCTCTTATGATCCGGTTATAGTGCATGTTATAACATGATGTATTTAACAAGCGCCATGAAAAATTAATTCAGGGATGAAGATTAGATTTAGATTCTTGTTATACAGTCCACGATAGTTACTCTTAAAGGTGACATAAGATTCCTCGTTAAAAGCCTTCTAGTTCAAAAAAAATAAAACTTTTATAACATGGTCCCTATAGAGACCAAAGGGCAAGAAAGGGTTAATCTAAAATAACTTGTATAAATATTTCTATAGGTTTTCGACAGATGTATATGTCACGTATGTCCAGCATATACACTTATCTGTGTGGACATTTTTGCTATTAAAGATAACACTATTTCCAAGTTATTTTTTTTTAAATTTTCAGAAAACTTGCTGAAAATTCTTAAAAACTTGTTTCTACACTCAAAAAAAAAGTATAACACTCGAAACTCATTTCGACTTTTCAGTTTTTCCAGCTTTCTGTCAAATTCTGAAGTCAATAATTCCCCCTCTCGACACCGGTTAGTACTGAACCGGTTATTCTAAAAGTCGAAATAATAGATTATTTTCCTTCAAAAGTCGAAGAAATTTGTTGACTTCTAAAAAGTTGAAGTAAATCTTCGAGCTTTACATATATCTTTAGACAAAATTGTACACACTGCCTGTCTATTTCCTACTAGGATCTTACAGGATCCTAACATTTAAGATCCACCTAATAACTTTCAGATAGGATCATAAAATGCTAGAATCCTACTAAGAACTTCGCTTAAATTTGTTTAGGATCCTAACAGAATCTTAGAAAATCCTATCACTTTCGGATATACCTGATTTCATTACGATTCTGTAGGATTTGTTAGGATCCTAAGGAGCGATTAAAGCGAAATCTTAGAAGGATACTGATATGTTATGTCTCCGATCCTGTTAGGAAACTCTTAGGGATTTTACTAAGAATGTCAAAAAGTACAATCGAAAGGAGAGATTTTGAGTTATCATAATAAAATAGCCTTCGAGTGACTAATAATGTAATTGTACCCGTATCTGAGAAAGAATTTCAATTGGTTTTATATTATTTTAAAATATTGTCTGTAGTGTGCGTGGTAATTTTTTCAATTTAATTTAGGCATGTGATGACAAATTTGGGTGAACAATTTTCTGATACTGAAGTTGACGAAATTTTACGTGAAATTGACACAACTGGTAATGGAATTATTCGTTATGAAGGTATACTTTTTAAACCTTTATTCTATAAAATATTATTAGTTGTAAATTAATTTTTTTTTCTTTAGAACTTGTCAAAATTGTTATAGGAAAATAATGAATTGATGCCTATAATTTAAACTGTGATGTAGTATAGTAGACAATGATGAAATTCGTAACAAACTTAAATATTCTTACTTCTAATTGAAAAAAAAAAATATTCGCTCATATTTGTATGTTACATATAATACAAACACAAAACTCAATTTTTCTCATTCCGTTTATATTCACAGTATTTCAAGAAATAAAACAAAATAGATGACTACATATACCTTATTATTATATTACATTAGAACAGAAGAAAAAAATTCTTACTGTCATACTCTTCTGTTAGCGCACTAGTAGAACTTTTGATTACATCATAATAATAATATATATAGGTTTTTATTGTATATTTTATTCCATTTATGACTTTTTTCTTCTTTTAAACACTTATTAATTATTTGTTGTTTATTTTCAGTTGTTAAATTTCTCTTGTATTTTACTTTTTGTGTTTGTTTTTCTATGAAATATAGGTTTTATGAATAAAGTTAAAAAACTATTTTAGAGATATTAATTCAAGTCAAACACTTTAATTCACACGCTACACAATAAATAAAATACAAAAAGAATGCCATTTTTGATTCATCTTTTCATTAATAATTGTTTCAGTAAAATAAAACATAAGTGGGAAGAACAAAAGAAAAGTCTCAGTCAATAACAATTTTGATTTTGTATGTGAAAAATATAGATTGTTTTATGTCGGTACGATTGTCATCTGACTACATGGTATGTATATTAAGTAAAAATATTTTAGAAACGTCAATAATCGAATGTTATAAGTTATTTTTGAATTAAATGGCTAATAGATTCGTATATTATTTTAAATTATAATATATCTTCAAAATTTTTAAATTAAACGTTTAATTATAGATTGTTATGCTTCAAATTCTCTTCTAAATGTTCCTGGCATAAATTTAGTTGGCGTCGTTTTTCCCGGTGTTATTGTATCATTATTATCTAATGAAAAATAATAATTTTTTTGATGAAATTTATCGATAAATGTTGTTGACATACGTTGTGTTTTTCGTAATAAAATAAATAGTAAAATAATTTCAAGATAATAAGTTAATTTAGAAAATATGGCTACACCGATTAATGCACCATTTAACGAATAAAAATAGTTATTATATGTTGTACAATAGTCAATTTTTTGAAGTAATGCAAGAAAACTAACAATAATAATGGCTGTTGAAAAGAGTGTAGAAATAAACTGAAATATAAATGTAAGAAGAGATATATTAGCATTACGTTTCCATAGTAAAATCCAAACTGATATTGGTGCCAAACACATAAATGGAAATGACCAAAAACCAACACCAATTTTATAAGCACATGTATTTGTCACAGTTAGAACAATTTGTAATGCAAGAATAGCAAATGATGAAAATAATTGTATTAATGAAAGTGAAAAATGTAAGAGAATTTTTAAAATAGAACGAAATTCTAATTGAATATGATCATTAATTAAAATGTGTTGAATATTTCGTGATTGAGGTGGCTGTTGTTTTGCAATTTCATAAAAATGAGAACGATATGGTCGTGTTTGAGGTGACTGAATAAGATTAATTGAATTTGTTGAATACATTGTCATGTTAACAATACACTAAATGAGAACATGAGATAAAAAAAACAATTAGACTATAAAATTGAAAGATATCATTTTCTTTTTTTATTTAGACTATTGGATTAAATCTTTTAAAACTATTTACAAAAATTTGATTATAGTCTTCGATTTACGCCATAAAAATTTGTTTAAAACAATTTCTACCTGTACTGAAAACGTTTGTTCAAATGTAGTGAGGCGTATAAGTGATTATTGACCATAAAGTGCTTTACTTTTTTTTCTTTCTTTATTAATAAACTATACTACAACTGTTCTATAATTTTTTATTCTGTTAAATACACAGCAGTAGACTGATTTCTATTTTTCTCTAGTGCTATACAGATGTCTGACACTCATTTGTCAACTGATTTTGCTTTTTTTTTCTTCATTTTCTATTGTCTGATGAAGATGAATGGTTCAAGACATTATTAAAAGCTCATGAGTTTTCACTTTTAGTTAAAAAAAGAGCATAAAACGAAAGTTTGTTATATACGTATGTATACACTGTAAAAATAATAATGCAATACTTGTTACGTCTACATTCATAAGAAGAAAAAAAAAAATTTAAATGAGGGAGGTCTGACATGAAGAAATTCTAACATTAGTTTTAAATATCACTTGACATTCTTACACATATGCCTCGATTGTTTTGATATAAAAAAATAGTATAGAAAGAAAATCAAGAGTAATATTGTCACCAGAAGAATATATTACCTCCTCAAAAGTATATTTAAAAAGATATATCGGCATACATATGTCTGTGGTTTCTGTTTCATTATTTACTTTTCTTTTATTCGATAAAATATAAATGATTTTTTTTTTCTCATTTCTGTTTGACACGATGTAGTTTTTTTTTCTTTTTTACTACATATGCATATTTAAATGACAAATTCAATCAAAAATTTCTTTTATTAAACTTAAAATTGTCTAATTAAATAGTAGAAAATTATTTCAAATTTCAAAATTATGATAAATTTTTCTATAAATAAATTATAAATTTTTTTTAATTGAAGTCAACTAAAGAGAAAGAAAAGTCACTATAATTTTTTCTCGAACTGTAGAACACATTTCTCTGCTTAATGTAATTGAGTATACCTAGTCAACAATCTCCGATTAAGTTTTGTGAAAAAAAATTCCGAAAATTTCCCGAGTGATTTCCAAAAAGTCTTCAGATATTTCTGTTTTTCGAAAGACTGTTCACTAGTGCAAAGCCAACCTAACGTTCTTTAGACGTTCTTCACCTTTTCATTTTCCTAATGGTTGAGAAAGTGTTTTATCGCTAACTTGATAAAGATTAAATACAATAGTTAATTTATCCGTCGGTTTGTGTTAGATATTTAACGGTAATGAATTATGTTCAATGATATTCTGATATGGTAACAATCCTACTCGGTAGTCTTATTATTAGAGTTCTGCACATTCCCATTTAGTATGAAACACACCATTCGTGGAAAAATTCGGTTGAATCTGTATCAAAAAGATGAAAAACGTCTCAAGAACGTTAGTATGGCTTTGTATTTATGAATATGTTGTTTTTTCTTCACATTGTATATATTTTTGTATATTGTATATTGATTAAGAGAAATGAATCATCTTCTGGGTACTGATGATCAACAATACATAGTTTTGTTGTCTTAACTTACAAAATATCAATTTCGGAAAGAATTTTATAAAGTGTTCCATATAGTTATCGATCAATAGCGAGTTAACTGTGGACCGGCATGAAAAGTATATTCACTAGAAATATGAAAAGATCTTGAGAAACTCGACGGTTTTGCAAGTATTTTTTCGTGCTCCTTGAACTTGAAACTTCTTGATGCTGAATGCTAGTAACGCAATTCAAATTCATAAAATTTTTGAAAATTTTTTATCAGTGGTCACGTAACACCATTTGACGTTTTGATACAAATTTATTATGTGTATTTTTGATTGTTGAAGTAATTTAATCTTCTTTATATTTCGATGTAAGTGGCAAAAGTTCTAAGAGTCTACACACATCATTTATAGCAGGAGTATGACGGATCATAGAAGACCAATATACGGTTCAAAATATTTTTGAATTAGGATGGTAGAAAAAAACCCAATTCTCTTCAAAATAAGACTTCTCTTAAGTCTTTATGATGGATAGTTCAAATGATATAACAATTTCAAATTGTGCCGTAAATCGTGCATTTTTAACAGTCCGTTTAAAAATTACAGACCGTTCCATTTGACAAAATGAAGAAGAATTAAGTGAGACAAACCCAACTTCTTTCATCACATTTGTAGGTAGTTGAATATGTGCGAATCAACTTGATTATTCAGAATTTTATACTGTAAATCCTGTGAGCTAAATAGATTGAAAAGATGAACGCCTTTTTAAACTTATACTATACAATTAACAATTGTCGACAAAATAATACTGTAACGGCGTTATTTTCATGTTTTTACTATGTATAGGAATTGCTTGTAGAAAGGATGTTACCATCAAAATTATAGTCAATTTTAATTAATAATTCTTTACAAAATTACTTCGTTATGTAACTCTATGTTAGCAAAATTTCGAGACATATTTCGAAGAATGGATTCCCCTTAAGATATGCATTATTTTTTTTTTCATAGTAAGTGAAACTGTTTTACCTGGAGAACGTTGAATTTTTTTTCTTTTACAAACATATTGTAATAGAAATGTGTCTTTTTTATAAAATTAAATAAAACTAAAAATAAACCTTTGCATTAGTGAAGCGGATGTAAAATTCAGAGTGAGTGAGGGACACATAATTTGATCGTGCCATTCTATTTTTTTCAAAATGATTTCTAAAAATATATCAAACTTTTTATCGAGTTTTATTCCTCCAAAGATTTTTATTCAAATTGGAATCAATTCACACAAACATGTGATTTCTTTCTTTATTTTTGCACTAAAATAAATAGATTTTATTTTCTCAAATATTTTTCGACCATTTTTTCGATCTTTCTACGTGGTGGAATGTAAAATATTGAAAATTAATAAATAAAACTTATCAAATATAAGAATAGTCAGTGATAATAATAATGAAAATTTCAGATATCAAAAAATTAATAACTTCAGATGTAAATTATAAATTTATAACAGTTGTACATTTGATTGATCTTATCCTCGTACTAAATCTTGCTCATAGAAGATCTTTCGAAGTAGATGTTCTAAATTTTTTTCAACTTATAGACATTAGCTGGTTGAAAAAAAAACTAATTATTTAGAAAGTTTTATTAAATTTTTCAGTTTAAGGCTATTTTTAAAAAAATTCTTACTCACTCTCCATTCACAATAAAAACTTGGTTCATTTCGTGAATCAAAAGAGAAATGTGTAATTGATTACTATGTACATAAAAAAAATCTCAAATTTTTTTCTTGCCTTTCTGTTATTTATTAGTCAATGATAATTAACGTTAATTCATCCTACTCTACTCGCTTAAACTCATAGTTGTAAAATAATGACTCAACGAAAAAAATTCGAACAATACTCCTTAGGATAGAGAATTTCATGGGCTACAATAAAAGTTTTAGAATTCATTTTTAGCTGCTCAGTAAGTCTCTTAAGTCAAAAATTTAGCAATATTTTTTTAAGAAATGAATTTTTTTTCTCAGCTAAATAATGTCAATGAGCGGAAAAAACGTCCATATACTTTGTGGAAAAACGAACATATACTTTGAAGTATCCTCTATAAACTGGGAGAGTTTGATAAAAAAACTTGAAATATCGCTGATTTTTGGCCCAGCAAGACACCTCACCATACAACTAGTTTTGCTAAAAGCAACCATTTTTTTAGAACAAAACTCCGAGCACTGAAGTTGTTCAGAATCAAATTTCCGAGTCCCTCAGCAGCGCTTTTTTCGAAAAAATTTTGTTGGAATCGGATCGAATCGGTCGATCAGAAATCAGCATCAGATCGGTAAAAAATTGATAAAAATCGGTGATTTTTCGAAGTATTTGAGATTTGTGAAGAGAAAGCTAAATTACAATAAGCACTTCTACTAAGAAGACTCTAAAATTTTAGAAATAAAAAACGAAGACATCTGTCACCACCAAGTCTCGAAGTATGTTCACTTTAAAATTTAAACACCTAAAGAGTAAAGACTTCGTTTCAATCAGAGCAAATTTTTTTTCTACAATCTTTACTCATCAAGTCACTTCACTGTACATTCCACAATAATCAATAAAAAATGATGTGAAGAACTATTGTCTGATTTTTAACAAAAAGCAGAACAAGAAATCGTTTCTACAAGGTTAAAGCTTTGTATTGACTACAGCTTCAATTAGAAAACACCTTTTGATACTAGGTCATATTATAAGACCCTCTCAGAGTTATCAGATACAGTATTTTAATAGAAAAACAGGGGTTTTAATCAAAGGGGTGGGGGTAAAATTATGTAGATACGAATATGAAACCTTTTCTATGTTTTTCATGTTTTTTTGGACAGAAAAACATCCGAAAAAAACAAATATTTTTCAAAGAATAAGTCAGTGAAAAATCGGTGAATATCGGCCAATTAAAAAATTTCGTTGGTCGGTTACTGGTCAATTGGCCGGTCCGGTTACAACTCTGTTCTGAACTACTTTAGTACCCGAAGTTTTATTCTAAAATGCTTGCTTCAAGCGCAACTAGCCTTAAGACATTTTTCAAAATACTTTTAGCTCTGAAATCCCATCGGGAAGGTAAAAGTTAAATTTCTACGTCAAACTTCATTCGAGAATTTTTTTCCATATACAATTTAATGTCCTATCCCGAATTACGCTAAAATCAACTCTTCATATCTACAACTGAACTTTTTAATCAAATTTTAAAAATGAGGTAAAAGTTCCGAAAAAAATTCGAAAATTTTTTATTTATTAAAAACTACAAATCTGGAAACCTCCAAACTCTTTGAAACATATACTCTAAAGTATCCGCTACAAGCTAATGAAAACAACCAGTTGAGGGGACCTAACCCCTTTAACCTTATATCCAAATAATACCTGACAACGAGTGGTTGGCTCAAAGGAGAAAAAACATAGTAAAAAAGAGAAATTTTTCTAGTGAAAAGTACTAAGTCTCTTATCGTTCCACTCCGTCGACTTAATGCTCACGTGTCATTCGTCAATGCACTTTCTCCGTACTTTATAAATTCTTTTTGTATGACTAAATGTGGGATGAATCAGCAACACCCACGTCCAACTTTGTAAAATTCAGTGCTGTTTAAGCATTTATTTATGATAAAAGTATATAGTAGAAGTGCACAATGTCACTACAGATAGCAATTACTAAGTATATCGTTTCACTGGGTATGTTTCTCCATTTTTGCACTGCATAATAGACCTTCGTCCATTCTTTCTATAAATTTTAACAAAGACATTTTCAAAATTGTGCTTTCAGAAGTTTTAGTATGACATAATGTTAATCACGCCAAACAGTATTACCATCTTAGATACATTTATCGATTGTGTCCACTTTATAGACTGATCCGGTAATCTTATCATAAATTCATTCAGACAGAAATTCAGGAAAAAGTCAAAAGTGAGATTTTCTATTCATCATCATTCAAACACATGGCGCACGTTTTGGTCAATATTACATGGTCTATGATCCATCAAGATCTCACCGAGTAACTTTTGTAATAATAATTGAAAATAGTAAAGGATACCTATGTGGAACACGATTTTCAGATGTCTTTAAAAGAACCACAATTTTCAAAATTTTATTGACGTAATTTTGACCGAATAAAAATGCTATAAGTCGCAAATTAGAAAACGTGAGAAATTAGAGCATCATTTCAGATTGTCATGGATGAGCTTTTTAAAACTAGTTATCATGAAAATTATATTAAATAAGAAAACTCATGTAGAAGAAAATAAAATTCGAAGAAAAACTACACTTTTTACGTATTTCGTCATTTTGTGCTTAGTGCTATTCACTTCTGTATACATTTGACAAACTCGTTCTTAGTGATAACAGTAGCATTTGGCCTGCACTTTCATACGAAGTATAGAATGTCTGTGCGCTAACATTTTGTTAAAGAGAAAACCTCGAAGTTGACTAAGGAGACGTCTGTTCACCATTTTGACGGACATCATTCATCACGTAGTACTGAGCAGAACTGCGTGGAAGTATAAATAAAAACAATAAAAACCGCGCTCCTTACTTGCTGCGATGCTACAGGAAATTTTATACTTCTACATTAGTATTATTTATTACCGTAAAATATTTGGGTTATGTGGAATTGATAAAATTTATTCCTTTTCTTTTCCTTGTTGTAATTTTTTTCTTGATTTCCCAAGTCGATCACCGATCAGAAACGACGGTTGCTACTAATATCCGAACGATATCTGACCTTTGTCACTGACGAAAGTCCGACAATATTTTCGTCTTAGTAAAAGGTCCTAGTAAAAGTACCTTGAAATGTGACTATGTTAAATAATGAGTTTTAATTTAAAGTTCTAATCAAGTTTTAGCCTCTGATGGGTTTATATTCAGAACGGATCACTCCGAAGCGACATACTAAGGAGAAAAATTTCGTGCTTTCGTGCTGTACAGCGCGAAAATAGTTTTGTTTTCTTAGTGACACTTATTATAATCATAGTTTACCATAGTTAGTTTCTCAAAATTTTTCAGCAGCCAATCTCGTTCAAACTTTGCAAAAATGTTGTTTTGACTTTACTGCAATGATCATGTTCGTGTAAAGTAGCGAAAACTTTTCTGGACGTCATAATATTCATGGGAAAATTTTGGTAGATACCGCGGCGTGTGCATCCGTGAACGTCGTGAAACGGAATGTGAGCGCAGCTGAGCATCGTAAATGATGTGTTGGCACACATGAGAAAATTATCCGCTTGTGAACAAACGTGAAGTGTGCACGAAAATGGTTTCCATCACATTTTTCGCATGTGGTCACAAGTGAAAAGATATGTGACCACACGTGTAAAAGTTATCCGCTTATGACCAGACTTGAACAGTTTACGAAAACATATATGTGATGTATCTGCCGCATGACTAATAAAACTCGAGAAGTGTGTAGTGACCGCACATGGATTTTTCGCGTTAATATTTCCGTAAAAAAGCTTCACACGCTTGGTCACATATTTTTACTTGTGCCCACGTGCGAAAAATGCGTTGGAAAACATTTTCGTGCACACTTCACGTCCGATCACAAACGGATAATTTTTAGAGACTCTATAGAGCCTCTAAAATTGAAAGTTTTTTATATAAAATTCTTTTTATAACAATTTTTTATAATCCAAAATGTATTTTCTATTAAAACGAATAACATATTGAGAATCAAGTCATCAATGTATAATATAGTAGACGTTGGATAAAAAAAGTCAAACATTTCTTCCGCATTCCATTACCTCTCTATCGCGATTCTTTGAAAGAATTAATTATTTTTGGAAATGTTTAGTTTTCATTTACAAGTTTTACTACGACTAGAAAAGGACGATTATAAATGAAAAACGGTTGACTGAAAAATATTCTGGTGGTGAAGATAAGCACTGCGAAGAGAAGGATGGATTTAAAAGAGCTACCTTGAAGCAGAATTGAGTGTGAGGAAGATGAAAATTAAAAAAACATTTTCGTGTGTTTTGCTCACACATCAAAAAGAACTTCATACATGCTCCCAACAGAAAATTTTTCAATACGCGACGCATTAAAAATTTTTTACACAACGGTCAAAGTTGACCTCCTATATACGATCCTGCCTTGAAGCAGTTCTAAACATTGAACCAACACATCGAACTTAAACTCACCCGTCGCACATATCTTTTCTTCCACCTACGCATGCAATGATTTGCTTCAGTAACTTCAGGGGCAATCCTAATCTGTACAGTTTAGCGACGTGACCGATATGTCAAATCAGGTCATAAGCTTTGATTCTATCACCAAAATAAACGGCCAGCATAGAAACATTTTTAGCACGATAGATTTTTGCTTCCTGGCAAATAGATACAATTCAGGTTCCCAGCATGTGATTTTCCCTACAGTCACAGTGGAGTAAGCATGCCAGGAACATTGCTTTTGCTTGTCGGCGCGAGCTGGGAGCGCTGGGTCGGATCTCTGGCTTACCTCCGCTAGAGATTAGATATCGAATCTTCTTATTCTCTTGCATTCTTCCAAAATTGATTATTGTCAAAAAGGCACTAGCTCAGTATCTCTTACAGTAAAATTCGGCCATGCTCCCGGTTATAATAAACTCGTGTTAGTTGTTCTCTTAATGTTATTTTATTTGTGTTTGTTTTCATCGTTGCATACTCTAGTTTCTTTTCTTTTTCTTTTGTTCATTTCTGTTATTTCTTTTATTTTCCTTTCTTTTTCTCTGTTTCATTTTTATAGTTTGGGTCGAGTCATTGATATTACATAGTTAAATAAATAGAGATAAAATTGTTTTGTATTCATACAAATAATATCTATAGCTAGACGTTTCAATTTATTTGCTAAATTTTCATCAGTAGCAGTACAAAAAAATCAAAGTATAACATTCAATTCATAATTAAAAACATAATCAAATATTAACGTGTAACTAATGCAGTTTTGTACATAATCTTTAACTGATGTTGATAGTAAAAGGAAAATTTACAAAAGTAATTCATATCATGCTTTATTCCTTATCTTTCTTAAGAATTTTTATGTTTCTTATGATTTTCCTTTTTTCGTCTCCTTATGTTTATAGTTTGCCAGACAGAGAAGAATCTATTTCTTATCTCTATTTATTTAATTCTTTACTATATTCATATATAATATTATCAAGATAAAGAAATTGATATTACAGGTTGGGGACCTTCGATGACTCTCACTTTTCGTGAATAAACTACTCTTAGTCTTAACTCGATTGCTCTGGAAGAACACTTTCTTTCATTTATATTCTGTTTTAGAATAATGGGACATATCCATCAGTCTTAAGCCCCCTCTCAGAAATGATGATTTTCGGTCAAAATATCGGTTTTGAGATAAGCACATGGGAAGATAGCCTGCAGTGTCTCCTTTCAGAATCTGTATCGCTTTTGGTTACAAAAGTGGTTTTTCCCCGATTTTGAGCAAGTTTTCTAGAAGCCTGGAAAAACCGAATCTTCAAATAATAGCTTTTTCCTGGATACTAATGCAATTAAAATTTTTCTAAACGCACAGATTTGTAGAGCAAATGTTTCTGATCAAAATAAGACCTCGCACAACTCTATATGACCCTGCATCAAAAAGTTACAGGCATTTTCCTAAAAGTTCTAAAATTGAGTATTTCGTACAGCGTTTAATACAGCGTTTTCTCTATATAAGAGTTACACCTGAAGTATTTCCCAAGATTTTTTTATAGCGGTTTGTCATAGAGAGTTTATTCTTTTTTTGTTTCAAAGAGGAGAAGAAACTAAATCGTCTGACCGGCGCCGATTTTTGAATTAGGTCTTAGTTTTTTATCAAATTAAGGATTTTTGGAAAATCCGGATGGCTTTTTCGGGTTTTGAAGGTTGTTGGTTGCCTGGAAAACCAATAAAGACTTCATTGAAAATCGGCGCTGGTCAGACGATGTAGTTAGGTGTCTAGTTTAAAATAAAACAAACCCGCACTCTCCAGCTTGAAGTATATTTAAAAATTTTGGGAAACACTTCAGGGTCCTTTTTTGACCTTGATCTCTTGAAAACTCCTAAACGGTAAAACGTGGAGAAGAAAAAAAACTTTTCATTCCCGTAACTCATTGAGCCAAACATTTATACGAAGTTTCGTCAAGATCGAATGTATGATGTTGGAGATTATTTCTGAGGAGGGGGGGCCCTTAAGACACACACTTTGACGTTCTCATTGCTCAGTCAAAAAAAAGGTCAGAAGTAGTAGTTTGAAGGTGTACTCCGTTTTTGGAGCACGCCTTTTGGGAAAAAGAGTACTCCTTTCTTTTTTTTCCAAAAAGTGCTCCATCATACTCCTCCTTTTGATATGTTTTTTTGACTGTGATGGTATACTGTGTTTTCATACGATGTTGAAGTGTTAAATTTGCAGATGATTTTTGTTTCATCGAAGATAATATAAGAGGCATTATAACTCGTATTATTGTTTAAGGGTGATCAGATACTGTGACTGACTTTCTGTTATGTTAAATTAGACTATCCAAAATGTTTGTTCTTAATAATTTCTTATCAATGTATAATTTATCGAGTGAAATTACCAAAACAACATCGATTAACGATCAACTCACCTCTCAATTTATCCGTGATTGTATTATGTTAGCCGTAGATGGTTTTTTATTTCAACACATCACACCCAATGACCATTACTATCGGTTTAAAAAAAAGTTTCCATCAGCATATAAACTATTGGATAGATATAAACAGCCAACACCACAACCACAACAAGAAAAACAAAAATCATATTCTTCTTCTTCTGCTAACCGTACACTGCTACAAAATCAAAATCAAATAAACACCACGTCGGCGCATAATATTCTATCAATTCAACAGACACCAAATAAATCCTTAAATATAAGTGATCAACAACACAGGCCACCATTATTAAATAAAACAGAAAAGACTGTAAGAGATAAAGGACAACATCAAAATATTAGTAAAAATGGATTGACCGTCAAAACAGAAAAACCAGTTTATAGTCCAAAAGAAGTAAGTCAGAAACACACAGAACCGTATCAAAGGCGTAAACTATTTTAGTTAGATTAACCATTAGAAATATAAATGGTAATGATAAACTTGAAGAATTTTTAGTTATTGCTATTCCCTTTTCTCGCATATTTGCGTATTCTGTACGCTAAAAGTCGTATTTTCCCTTTGTTTGTTTTTCTTTATTTGATCTAAATACACTTTTTTATTTTTAGACTCAATCTTCATCCAACTCGACAAGTCGTAGTAGTGCAACAAAAAAATCTATGACGAACTCCTCCTCTGATCTACCGCAAAAACAACAGCAGGTTAAAGATCCTTCATCTTCTACATCTACAGTTCACGCTCAACATCAACATTCACATGTTTTTTCTCATTTACAACCAACAGCACCATCACGTCTATCAATACCGTCTCCCTCTAACGAACGTCCAATTAAAAATCCAGTTACCATTGATGATATTAAGTTACCTTTGGAAATAGAAGTACGTAACATTCAAGAACGAATGTATGCACATCGTTTCAAATGTTCACGTCCAAACGATCTACAATTGATGTCTAGCAAAGAAATTTTAGATGAAAAATTAGATATGCAACAAGAATTGATAAAATTTGAAGATAAATATTCAAAACCAGAAACATCGGAACAAAAGCACATTATGAAACCGTTGTACGATTATTATAGTCAATTAAAACGACGAGTAGAAAAAGATCTTGCACAGTTACAACAACAAAAAATTACCAGACACTAAGATTTTTTTTGTGTATATCATATTTGTTTATGCTTGTTATTTTTTTTTGTGTCTGTATGACGACTCTTTTGTTATTTGTATGTTTGAGGTCGGTGCTAATAAATAATATTTTATACATTCCTGATTAAATTCGTAGCCAAATTATCTGAGAAAATAGACCGCCTTCGGCTTTGCACCTGGGAATTATTAATTCACACTTCTTCTCAGGTCAATAGACATGATATTCGATTATAAGCGTTACATGTACTATCATCTTTGCATTGCTTCGATGTTTGAATATTTTGACATCTTGTGGATCTTAACAATGTGACATAGCTAGGAGAATTGTAATGTAGAACTTCTAATGACTAATTTTATTCTTATACATGAAAATTAATATTTTTTTGGGATAATCGTTTCTTTGTTGGAATTTATAACTTATGAACATCTTGTCATGTTGTTCTAAAACATGAATTAATTTTAAATTTTATCTACTTTTAGTTGAATTTTTTTGGGCGAAGTGATGTCACTCTATTGGATTTAATTACTTACGTTGAAAGATACGCTTCATCATTATTCAAAATATAAATTAAAAACAATATCATTCATTGAAAATCAATTGAACGATGCTAACGTTTATTACTTGAATAAAAACATTGATGAGTTGAAAAATGTTTACAAGTACGTGATTCATTAGTTGCTGATGAATTCCTGGATAGTGAAAATAGTTGCACTAATAAAACATCAGAAGGCGTATGTACCGCGTCGTCTGATATCTCACCACACGTATGGTCTCTCATGTTCAATTGAATTAATGTTAGCTGAATGATTGCTAGACGCACCCGATAATCTGTCTGCATCAAAATGGTAACTTATTCTGTACACTGTTGGTCAACGGTGTTTGATTGTTATATACGATGAGCAACCGTATGTATTTGACAGAAATGGACATTTTATTTGTAAACATTCTTCGATATCATCATATAGTTTGAAACAAAATCAACATTAGTCATTATGCCTTGTATTTTTGAGTTCAAATATTTATTAGTTTAGAAATCAGCGTAATATTTACACTCTGAATATTAATGTTTTATTTTCAAATCACAATCTGAAGAAAATCCACGTCGTCTATTTTTATAGAAAACCGTCGGTTAACCGCAGTCTTTCAAATAACCGCCAATTCACCGCGGTTCGCTATAAACCGTCAATTAATCGTGGTTAACCGCCGGTATTTTTGATACCGCGGTTTGGAAAATTAACCGCTCATTGATCGCGTTATTTCGGAGAACCGACGGTTAACAATTTCTTTTTCAATCTCTGTTTTGTGGTCACTATACATATATAAGGACAACATAATTTATAGAAAAACTTCAGAATTTTATTCATAACTTCTTGAAGTATGAACTTCGACTTAGTCTAAATATCTTTCAGATTGCGTCTAAGAGACCTGGCAAGCAGATAGGTGCTGCGCAGTCCAAAATTTCATCGGTATGGGACTGTGACTAACATACAGTTTTACTGCTGTAAAGCACATGAAAATTCAACACTTAAACAAAAATAAAAAAATGTTCAGAGGAGGATTTATACTGATATCGCTTGCTCAGCAAAACAACCGTTAATTAACCGCGGTTAACCAAGCATTTTGCGCCAATTCGCGGTTAATTGTGGTTAATCGGGCGGTAAAGCGCACACGTAACCGGACGGTTAACCGAGGTTAATTGGCGGTTTTTTACCAGTTGGATGGGAATAGCCAACAATTGAAGACATTCGATAAAGAATACAATCCGTATCTCGCCTTTTTTCTGTGAGTTTATGAATGAATGATTTAGGCAGTCAAAGAAGTATTCAATTCTCAAATAAAATATCCACATAATTATCATTTAGAATTAGGTTTTGAGCGACATCTAGCACTTCTTGTTCTTTAAATGAGTGATATTTTTTTCACGTCAGATTAAACAGATTCTAAAATTCATGTTCTTCCTACGTGAAATTATTCCATTGACATCTTCGTAAAACTTAACTTTTGCATTCTAACTGATTGAACAAAATTTAGTTGATCAAAGGGCATGCTCAACATTTATTTAAACAAAAATTATCAACAAAATCAAGAAGTGAATAGTTTTTTATTTTATAAAACCTTTTATGATTAATGAAAATATCGAATTAGAAAAAAATATCAAGCAACTCGATAATACGTATTCAATGTAAGAAATATCGAATTATATCAGACTAGTGTGACAGACAGGTGATTATTATTTAAAATTACAAAATTATGAAGAAAACAGTAGAGGAAGTAGTGTTGGGGAAGAAAAGCTTGCACAACGTGGAAGATACAAAACACATTAACAATAAAAGAGATAAATTAATTTTAAAAATCAATAACGAATGCCTTATGAAAAATAATGTTTTCTTGTTTTGTTCTTATTGTGATTATTTGTATAAATAGTGTTTTTTCAAACAAAGAATAAAAGGTATCAACAATCCATTTCACTGTAGAATGTGGTTGGTATGTATTTTAATCTGTTCCTAAGTATTAAATTAATTGTTTTAGTCAAGATGATAAATTAAGTTCTTAACATATTCTATGGAAACAGAAATATATTTCCTAAGACTAATAATTTATTTTTATACAGTTTCATACAGTAAGAGGAATCATTCATGTGTTCTAAATCATCATTGACTTTTTTTGTTGATATTTTCCTCTTCAATAATAACACCTCTTTCCTTTCTGTTTCACATCCGAAAAATTTCTATCTCTCATTCTTCTTCCTCATCAATTTTCTTAATTGTATTAGATTTTTCATGGATATATTTATATACATAATGCCTATAGAACACGACAGTTTTAGCATGAGTTGTCGAGACCTCATTGTTTCATCAGAATGGCATATATGTCAAATTGGATAAATGTAACGAAAGAAGAAAAGAACAGAAAGCAGGATAGAGCATACACACACACAAAGCAACTGAATTATAGATCTCTTATACGATTAAGTCCCATTGGTGTTACTATACTTTAATTATTATTATTATTATCATTTATCAAAAAACGACATCACAAATCTTGGACACAAAAAAAAAAGCAATAGAGAGACAGAAAAGAAAAATAGAAGAAAAAAAAAAAAACTATATATATTTTTTTCTCATGTGTTCTGTTTCTCCCTCTTTTTGTTCTCTCTTTCTCTATTAATGAGATATATATATATATTAACTGAACATGGAGGAAGGGCCCATTTTTACATTTATAATAATATCTGATTGTATATTAAACTGATACAATTTCTTTTTAAAAAAGCATGTCTTCCAGTACATCTTATTTAAGACCTGATTATATTCATCAGTTACCTTCCGGTATATCTTCGACAAATTTGGTAAGTGTTTAATATATATATATATGTATTAGGTAAAATTTAAGACAAAAAACCTATTAGAAATTTATGAATTTTTTCACCATAATCGAGTCATGAGAAAGTTTTTCCATCTACAAATGATTGACTTACTGGTGGTAAACATAAATTTAACCAAACATTTCTGTTCATAACAAAAATATGGATGTTTCGCATTTAATCGGTGTTGTTCATTTCTTCTCATAGTTGGATTCAAGTCAGAGTCCATTGGCATTATTGGCTCAAACTTGCAGTAGTATTGGAAAAGAACCATCAACGACAATACCCAACGTTACTTTACCAAAAACAATATATTCATCATTAAATAACGAAAAAACAACGTCAAAACTAAATGAAATAATTAATACTGAAAAACGTTCTGATTATACATCTCATCATCATAAAAATGAAAAATTATCACCACCGCCGACAACAAAAATAACATCGTCAAATGTTAAAAACAATAACAGTGGCACATTAAATTTTTCAACAAACTCATTAGCAAAATCAAATCAGGACAATGTTTCTACGTCATTGTCATCATCGACGACAATCAGTAACGGTTTAGAGATAAAAAAATCTCAACAACCAATTATCACATCATCATCACGTTATACATTTGAACCACAGTCGTATTATAATTCACTAACAAATCGTCTACAACGAACGACTACTCCATCATCATTGTCATCTTTTACACACTCTTATCATATGGCTGCTGCCGCTTATTCATCATTACTCGATCCATATTTACAACTTTTACGAGCAGATCCTCTTCGTTCAGCAGCTCTATTAGCTGCTTACACTTTTTCAAAAGATGAAACGAATTTAAATTTAACATGTTCTGATCCATATTGCCGTCATTGTTTATTAGCTCATTCTCAATTACCTATACCGTGTACAATTCCAAATTGTTTACAATGTGAATTAGTTCGTCAACCATTTGTTTGTAATTGGGTTAGTGCTCATGATTCAGCCTATTGTGGTAAACGTTATTCAAATCACGATGAACTTTTAAAACATTTACGTACAGCACATACGCAGGATTATTATCAATCGGCTCTGATACCTTCTCGAGTTCCAACAAAACCCATACCCACACAACATCGATTTCATCCTTATACGAAAACAACAACAAATACATCTCCATCATCGACACCAAATACTTCAACTTCTGCTGCTGCTGCAGCAGTTGCTTTAGCTAGCCTACCACCGCATCATTTTGGATTCTATCCCAATTTACCATTATTTGGATCTCGATAAATAGAAGTTACTGTTACTGAAAAAATTACCGGTTTTTATCTGCGCTTAGAATTAGACATACATGCGATTAAAAACTCATTCATTTTAAAAAGGCTTTTCGTCATCTAAACGGTCTCCATTGTACAGAGACGAAATTTTCATATATTATTCCTAAGAGAATTATATTCCTTTTAAAATTTTAAATCAACTAAAGTTGAAAACTAATCGTTGCCTAGTCCTGGCATCACTTGACTCTCTTATTTGTTACTAATATTTACTTTTTGTTTATAAATTGAACAGTTTTAAATAGAAGAAATCAATTTTGTTTGTAATTTTGTTTTTTTTCTTCTTCTCGTTGCATTGATAAAGATATTTGCTGATTTGAGTATTTCTAATAAGATCTTTAATCTTCGCCATTTAGGGTGATTGTTACTCTTTACCTCGTGGTAGAAAATGTATAGGATAAATCAATATAAAAGCACGCACACAAATATCAAAATTCATGAAACAAATGCCATTTGACACAATCATCGTAACAATTAATCTTAATTTTCTAACACAAGGACAATAAACAAATGTCGATTGAATGTATGTAATCATATCAATCATGTCACGCACAAAAAAAAGAGAAAGAAACGATAGGGAAAAAACTATACAGACTATATGAAACATATCTCTATATAGATACAGATAGAAGTAGTACACGAGAAGAAGAAGAAGAAGAAAAAAAAAGTGAGATTGATGCATAAATTTATTAGATAGATGACAATCTAAAGTAAAGTAAAAAAATTGACTCTCTCTTTGTAAAATGTATTGTCGTTGTTATCTAATACAGTTTTAAGTTTCAAAAAAAATAAGTGAAAAAAATACGACTGTAAAAAACAACAAGAACATTTTTTTTTTGTTGATTAAGATTAATGTATTTGGTGATTTATTGTCAAAATGAATGATAAGTGAGTTTGGGTAAATGAGAATGTTTAATTAACAAAGTTAATTTGTTGATAGATATTGACCGTTGGTATATAGTCTAATTGATGAATAGCTTATACATAAATACATGATATTATGAGAAAGAGAAGAAGATTCGAGTTTTCATCTGACGTAAAGCAGATAAAATTATTTGTCATTCTATCATAAATAATAGACTAGATGTGATTTAGTCATTATATTTTTACAGAAAGTAAGAGTAAGAATAAACAATAAATTATTATCAAACTACCTAGATATATTCTGTTTTATTAGATAAAGAATTTCTATATTTGTTTTGCTAGTCATATTGGTATATGTTTAGTTTAAGATTTAGCCTTAGGTATATAAACGGATTATAAATCAAGGTTTCAAGTCGGGTCAGAATAAATATCGACCTACAACTGACAAGTATGCAGATTATCGCACTTTTAGTCATGATATTAGTCTTTATTTTCCTTGTAATAAGGTATATTTACAATTTCTTAAGAAACGAATGACAATAAATGATTTTGTCTGGTTTACATCAAAAAAAGCCTCCGAATTTCGTTTATTCTTTCTGAGCGTGATATATAAGCTATTTATCAACTATATTCGAAAACTAGATAAATATCTTTCAACAAATTAATTTTGTTGGTTAATATATAGTGAAGTATACGAGATTGAAAAAAAGCAAACACTATCGTTAGAAAAAAGGTATTATTTGAAAAATGTGCATTTTTCCTTGCTATAACTATTCTCACAGTATCCTTCGCCATAATTTACCAGGTTTTCGTCATGTTTATGCATTCAACAAAAAAAACCCGATGTGTATCCGGTTTTTTTAACTTATACAAAAAAAACGTTCAAGGAACTGTGTGTTATTACTGGTTTGTATACCAAAAAAAAATTTCATCTCATATTAGAAGTTAAAATAAAGGTCAAAAACGGCATTTTGAGTTTGTTAAGAGCGACATCGTACATCGCTTTCGGAGACTCATTTAACCTTGATGATAACGTTTTTTTTTAGAAATGTAAAACTTACCAGCGGCATTTTGTCAAAATGTGCTAATGATTGATTATTTATATTGATTATTTGATGTTTGTTTAAACTATATCAACTTTTTTTCCTTTATGTGCATAAGATGATGGACAATGTCAATCAAACTGTTTAACTCTTTCTAATGTGTATATGTGTTTATAGAAGATGTCAATACGAACTCAATATTGTTTTATTAAACCCTCATACACTAGAACAACAACATTTTTCTGTTTAATGATAATAATCGCGTATATATGATATATGAAAGAAATAATTATTTAACACTAAAATAATTAGAAGATAATGTTTGACTAAATACCGAAAAAAAATGAAGAACAAATGATTGTTTACTACTTAACAGTAAGTTTTTCTTTAAAAACAACCCATTGATTATGCCACCTTAGGTGACAATCCTTGATATTAACTAAAAGTATTTAGCCTAAAACGTTTTCTTTCAGGACGTCTCTTCTCCCAATCGTTTTAAGATAAAAATTGGGCTCACATTCGACAACTGAAATATTTTTATAGGTATAAAAATTTAAATTCAAAATCTGATGGTATATTTTTTGTTTATTTTCTCATATTGTTACCATGAGTAAACACGTATTATCAAATTCTACCTTTTTTTTGCACTGCAGAATAATCTGCTACATTTCCGGAAATTTTCTACTAAGTTTTGTATAATTGGTAAAAAATAAATTGAAAAATGAGATTTCAACTAAATGATAGTGGAAAAATATTCTAATGATGACTCTTTTTAACTTAAAAAAACGATTTCTATAAGAATTCAAAAATGTTTACAATACCTCACATAATTTAGTCAGTAGAAGTTCTCTACATGGAATATAGATCTAATCGCTTGAAGAACAATAAAACTCATGAAGAATCCAATATTTTTTTTTACAGAATACAGACAGTTATTCTCTAAGGATTTCCAACAGAACATTTAAATTTTAATCAATCAAATTATATAAGACATGATAGTCAGTCACAAGTTAAAAAGAAGATTTATTATCTTTGTTGCTGTTGTTTTGATTATAAATGATAAATCGTATTAAAATCATATGTGGCTCTGATTTATGCCTCGACGATGACGTTGTCGACGATTAATGGTCCCTTAAGGTCTTCGTTTTCCATTCTTTTATGGTGTGCTGTTAATGAACTATTTGTAAAAATTGACATCAATCGAGGCCGTTTATCATCCTTTTTTCTTCTCTATATGCACATCAATTTGTTTGATAAATGGTTAACGATAGAATAACGTGAACTAAATATAAATACAATTCTCATGCATCTTGTGCATTAAGTTGAAACATGACACGATGATTAAATCGATTTCTTTTTACCTGATTTCTTATCTGTATAATGTACTGGACTATATACTCTCACACTTGCACATGTAATATACAAACTTATCATTAATAATAGTATAACGTCATATATCTGACAACTTTTTAAATCTAAAATTTATCAGATTATATTAGGTGTTAATATATGACGGAAATGAAAATCAAAAATATCTGATATTTTCTAAGTTTAATAAACTTCTAGTTTTTTTAAAAAACTATTTGAATTGTTGTATATATCAAACGAAACATATTACAAGAATCATTTGGTAAAGCTTCATCGGATCTTAAAATTTTGACTGTTGTCCAGTCTATACAAAATTTCAATCACTATCTCTTTATCCCTCTTGATGTCTGTCCATTAGTCATTGTACTGTTACCCATATATACTCAGCAACATTATTGATGATGATCATAAAAATGTGTATATATGTTTCTCGAGCAATTATTTATTGCTGACAGTTTTTCTTCTTCTCTCAATGATCATCATCATCATTGTCTGTCGGCAGGATTTATTTTTAGTTCATTTGACATGAAACATCAATGTTCTAAATGTTGTTGACTCATTTAGTATATCTATCGTATCGTATGTGTCCAAATAACATGTCGAAAATACACATATCTACCATCAGAATATTATGTTTGATAAATTACCATAGATATATTTTGCGGCTCGTTTGTACCTTTTGTCATACATATTTAACTATCAATCAATATCAAACATTGATATCATCACGTCCTTCTCTCGCCTCATACGTCTCTCTTCTCTTCGTATCATAAATGAAAGATTTTTGTATGTAAACAATCTTTTTTTTATTTTTATTTTTATGCAATGTACATAGAAAACGATGACATGCAATGCAATCGAAAATGATTGACAATACTAATGAGAGTTCAAAAATTGATGGTATAGTAGTATGGTATCATAATTGATAACCGTATAATGTGTCTTTAGAAAATTATTTGATACATAGAGATAATCTTGTAGTTCCAATGTAGGATACAGACGTCGTTGTAAAGAATAATTAAAAGTCTCTCATATTTTTCTATATCAACGTCACTCATTCATTTTCAATTTCACTGAAGTAAATATAGACAAGATTTTTAGTTTAGTTTTTTCTATGGAAGAATTAACTTGTTTAACCGTTTTTCTCTTTTTTTTTAGTGATATAAAAAGAATATTCAGTATGACAATCAAATGTGAGTTTGAAAACTTCATGTTCATTATGATTAAAAATGTTGTTTAAATTACCTGAAAATAACAGTTATTGAACGTCTTCTTTTCTTTTCTTTTCATTATACTATATTGCATATGTTATTTTGATGTTTAATATTATCATTGTTAAATTACGTACAACTAATCAAACATAATGGTCAGGAAATTAAATGAAAATGGACTTGCACTAAATAAAGATCGAAATGAATGAATTATCTTTTCTCTCTTTTGTCAGCGACAATTTTATATCAACATTTTTTGACAAGAAACTACAATACAGCAACGATCTGTCACAACTGCCTCAATTTATCATGACCATGATAACTCACTCATTTATTCATGCATAAATATAAAAAGACGCACACCTATCCCATGGAACAATACAATAGAAAATCGTTATCATGTCAAAGAGAACACATATGACAGTGAATACATGTGAAATAGGAAAAAATTAGTCTCTTTTGTTCTTAAT